TCAGATTTCCTTTAGAGATTCATTCTAAAAAGCATCAGTCAGATAAAACCAGATGAAGGTTCATTCTGATCCACTTCTGGATACACTCGAGCGTAGATTCATTCCAATACATTTTTTAGATACAATCAGACAAAGACTCATTCTAATCCGCTCCTTGATACAGTTGGGCATAGACTCATTCCAATACATTGTGTGGATACATTCGGGCGTTGGTTCATTCCAATACATTATTAGGATACATTCAAGACGTACATTCATTCTAGGACATCATTCAGATACAATCGACACATAAGATTCATTCTGACACTCCCTAACACATCTTCTAGATATAGTCGGATACATACTCATCTTAGTATACTTCTTCAGATACAGTCAGACATAGACTCATTTTAATACTCCTATCAATAATTACTTTGGATGGCATCTATAAGCCTATCTTCGATGACACTCTATCACTTCTCTGAATGGCATCTTTAAGCTCATTCAAGCAGTACAATCAACCAACAGTGTTACTTTGTGCACATGTGAGTGCAAATTTCTGGGCACTTAAGTGTTCAATCCTCTTCCACCTTCAGATCACGAATGGTGGGTATGTCAATCTAACTCTTCAGGTTTAAGAAGATTGAACAGGGGCAGCTGTTGTACCCCAAAATTTTCCCTTCAATTTTCAAGACAAATTATTTCAATAGGTCTCCTCATGCTCCTAGGGTTCTCAATTTCTCAAGACTACTCAAGGATTGACCAGACAAACTCTCCTCCTAAGCAATTGACCTACAATTAGGATTTCTCTTCTCTAAAGTGAATTTGGACATCTAATGCCTCAAGTAGACTTCATGGTTACTCATATTATTCAAAGAATCCTCATGTCAAATTTCAAACCTTGCAACACAAGTTTGCTCAGTCAATTACTCAGATGATTAAAAACCAACTGTATTGGACAAAAAGTCAACTTTAAACAATTTACAATCAAACTTCAAGATTTTTGGTCAACATCAATATTTTTAAGTCGCATTCATCATTTGATCAAGGTTTGATCATGATTCATCAATAAAACTCAAGATTCATCAAAAGTCAAAAGTTACTAAATTAGGGTTTTCTTTAGGATAAGTCAACTGAACTTTGACCAATCATAATTTTCACATACTTCATCATAAAGTTCTCAACCAAAGCCTATCTTCAAGGAAATTCAATTCTCTACAACTTTGTCTCTTTAAGCTCAAGGCCAAAAATTGTTCATTTGAGAGATATGAGCCAAAATATTATAGGTCGTTTTAAAAGTCAACAAAAAGACATTTTTTGTAAAAGAAATTTACATCAAGTTAGAGACTTCAGATGAAAAAATGACCAACATGAAAGTTGTATAAGACATCTCGAGGTTTCCAAAAAGTCAAAGATCACTTTCATATGACAAAAATTGAGAGAGTTATGAGTTGTGCAAGTTGAGCAATTTAGAGAAAATGCACGAAACCTAAATTGAGTAAAACTTGAATTTTTGGGCTAATGGGCATAAGTTTTCAGGTCCAAACGTGTTCATGACCTCATGAGGGCCCCCTAAATCCATTCATGTATCTTTGTGATTTTTATTTCTTTTTATTTTGATTTTTTCATTTAAATTCAAAATAAATCAAATAAAATACCAAGTGAATGATATAAGGCATGTGGATCTATTTTTGAATCAAATCATGAACTCAAAAAGCTGGTGAAAACTTGGAAAAAACGTGCAAAGGTGATTGGTACATAATTGGCCTAAAAAAGAAATATTTCGTGCAAAATTCCAATCAAAGATTGATCATGAAATACAAAAGATTGATCTCACTTTTGTTGACCTAATCCAAGCATTATAAATATTCAACACATTCAGACCAAGGGAAACACGAAACATTGCCTCAAGAGCACACCCTAAAATCTCAAAAAAAATTCAAGAACTATTCCATCGTGTTTCTGAAGTTCCCGAGAGTTCATCCCACCCATCCTTGAAGCTTGAATCACGCCAGATCATCACAACCAAGTTGCACCTGTTGGGTAAAATTTTTTAACTTCAAATTCTTAATTCATGCATCATTGAATGATTTGATGCATATATATGTCTTAATGATGATTAGAACTGTTTTGATCCATTACTTGTGAGATAAAGCGCATGGACGATGAAACACCATTGTTAGGGCACAGTCTGAGTTTGTATTTGAAACTCACGATACAAGCAGTTTCAGGCCAAACTAACACCACCATTGGATTCAGGAGGTCCAAATTATGGGGACACGACTCCTCTTAATCTTTAAATCTTGCTATTTTTGTAAGTTAAAAAATCTTCTCAACGGAGAAGACAACCGGAGCTAGGGCTTCAACGCTTCTCTGATTCAATTGCTTTTATTATATATTTATTTGTTTGTATTTTAATAACAGAAAGGTACCGCAGTGCAAATGGTGAATGATGCGTTTGTATTACATGAGAGCGTGGGTTCGATCCCTATATTTTGCAAAATTATTTTGTTTTTCCAAACTAACGTGCAGGTTTATAATATATTGAATGTTGCCTATTCCTAAACACCAACAACAACATGGCGCAGTGGTAAAGAGAGTATTCTTTGAGGTTAGGGGCGTGGGTTCAACACGCAACCCATGCAATTGGTTTTCTTATTTTATTAACCTAATTTTCATTATTTTTCTTAATTAATTATTTTAATCAATCATTAACTAACCTAATTTTTTTTAACATTATAACAAATTAAGGTTAGGGTTTTTAATTAGTAATTAATTTTTTCTTGATATATTTTTATTTACTATTTAATTAATTGATTAAACTTTTTCTTAATATTAAAAATAATTAGAAACAATTAGGTTTTAATTAATTATTAACACTTAAATTATTTTCTACACAAAAACAAAAAAAAAACATTTTAACATTCTTTTCCTCATCTTTTGCTATTTAATTTTCTTAGACAATTGTATAGGTCGCACTATCAATGTAATAGCTTAGATTTATTTTCTCGAATTTTTTCCTATTATGTAAATGCTCACAAGATATAATAGCTTAGTTTTAAATTTCCGCACTTTACATTCCTCACTTTACTTTTCTGTACATATTTAACTGTTAGTAACTAGAGTTCATATGACAAGACTAAAAACAATCTAGAAAACTCTAATTCTCAAGATAAAATAACTGAAAACAAACACTCTACGCACTTGCACCTCTAGGGTAACCTCTCTTGTTTCCTTATGAATACCGGTCATATCCCTCGAAAGCGGGTATACTTTAGCAAAAGATCCTCAATCAAATCATCATAGTCCCTTCGAATAAAGATCACAGTCCCTCGGCGATCCTTCGAGTTTCCTACAAAAGGATGATAGTTCCTCTGATACAATTACTAAAATATCCTTACATGTTATCTTTGATGACCATAAGATGACTCTACGTATGTCCCTTCACATCTAATAGATAGAGCTACCTACCAACTAATGGTATGGATAGTACTATCTCTAAAGGATAAGGAAAATAACAAGAAAGACTTTAGTGGGTAAGAACTCTTGAATGCTTGCTCACTACTCAAAACATTTTTCACACTACACTTTCAAACAAATATTTTCAAAACACTTTATATACATTCTTGAGGACTGATACAAGAATCATTACAAAGTTAGCCTTAAGTTGGCATTTCAAAATATATTCAAACAAATCAACACATAAAGCAAGTTTTTTGTAAGCTAAGTAATTAAGAGCCCATAGATAACTATAGATGAAAAGGGTGCTAACACCTTCCATTTTCATAACTTACCCACCAAACTCAAAATTTATCAAAGGTTTTTTCCTGTTCTTTTCACCTTTCCTAAATATAGGATAAAAGAAAAGTCAGTGGTGACTCTTGCTATCCGCACATTTGGATAAAACCAAAAAAGTCATTTCTTCCACCGTATTACAACACGGTTTAAAAATCAAGGTGAGTCCAACTTTTAAAATATTAAATCCTTTTTTTCTCAACGTATGGAAATAATATACCCCTGAAATCCATGTCCTACCCTTAGACCTAAAAATTGGGACTTCCTTGACAACAAGGTAGATGAAGGGTGCCTAAAACCTTTTTTTCGTCTAAATCGACTCACGACTTAGAATCTCTTTACGAATTAGGGTACCCGTTATTCTCCTGTTGTTAGGACAAAAAACTGTGGTGGTGACTCTTATTTTTTGCCCGTTACGACACCACGCAACCTTCACCATCGTCGAATCAACGATTTTCTCAAACACGTTTACATCTACACACTGATGGATATAGAACAACGCCTTCTGATCTTTCTTCCTTTTATCTCTCGGCGTGTTTCTCTATTCCTCTGTCGCATCCGCTGCTACCGGAACGTAACCTTTGGTAACAAGCTCAAGAACATCTTGAGCATCGAATAACACGCGCATCTGAATTATATTGTTAAAATATAATTTTTTGAAAAAATTACAATTTCGATTTTCAATAATGTATGTTTATTTTATAGGATTTCAAAATTAGTCTTTTAATTTATAAAAAATAAATATATAAAAACTTGTAATATTTTGAAAAATAATTTTATAAAACCCATTTAAAAAAACAAAAAAAAAATCTATTTTTTAAAACATGAAACAAATATGTTCTAATCAATTGCTTAATTATGTAATTTAAAAAGGAATAGCAGCGTAAATTATTATCTTCTTCTGACTTATTTTTTGTTTATCTTTTATTTCTGTATTAATCTAATAGTCTATCCTAAAGATATTGTTAGTTATGTTTATTTTTTCAACTTTAGTATTCATATTTCTTAATCCGGCAAATAAATATTTAAAAACGAAGATATCCAATATCATATATATTTTGCCTTTTATTTACACAATCATACATTTATCACATTTTACTCCATCAACATAACTCCTGAAGAGATGAAGATATATATTATTAAAAATAAAATGATTAACTTTTATAAAAACAAATACTGCAACATTAATAAACATAAATCACACTCATCCATAAAATACAAAGACTTCATTCCTTGAATGCCTTAGAAGCATCAACAAGTATCTCCTTCATCTTCCCAACAACCTCATGCATCTGTTCTCTAGAATGCAATGGTGCTGGATACACACAAACACAGTCCAAATTTCCATCTCTTATGGTATCAAAAATGGCAATAGATGGTCCCACTCCATGAACAGAAGCACATCCCAAATAGTCCTCAACACCAATCTCCTTTTGCTTCTTACAACTGTTGTCCACAACCGTGTCCTCGAAGACCGACATGATCGCGGTTCGCAACGAAGAAGATGAGGTTAATCCTGGATTCTCTATGGCCTTGCACATCAGGAAGTTTAAGTCTGCCATGTCGGAGAAATGCTTGTTGGTTTTCTTTGAGTTTGAGAAAGCTCCGTAAGTTCTCTTTGCAAGGTTCCATAGAGTCTCTCCTCCTTTTATCTCGTGGGAATTGAGAATGGCTGAGTGGTAAAAACCTGAATGTTCATAGGAATTAATAATATAAGATGTTTTTTATCAATTGAATAAAATATGTGAGTTGTAGAAATATTATGTAGTGTTGTAGATATATATATGGGTGATAAAAATAGGTCCGGTCGGTTGGGTATATCCGTTTTATCCACACTTTAGTGCGGGGCAGGCCAAAAATTTAGACACATATCCTCTAATATGACTGCTTTGTCTCGTTCTGTTTTCTTCGCATGTTTTTGCAGGCACGATTATTAGTATAAAATTTTGTATTTTTAGACCTAAAAAGTGCAGTGTCCGCGAGATTTCTCCACCCCACACTCACTTTTTTTCAAGGATGGACCTAAATTTTAGGTTCTCATCCTCAAATATATCTGTCCCATTTCTTTGCGGACTTTTACGAGACGGATCTAAACGAGACGAACATGCCCGTTTACCACCCATATATATATATATATATATATATATATATATATATATATATATATATATATATATATATATATATATATATATATATATATATATATTGAAAACGCATAATTTTTAAAAATTTTAATACATGATAGTGAAAACCATAATTTAATCTCAATTTTATTCATTTTCACATTCTCATATAACTTATCAATTCTCACTAAATATTTTATATAATATTCTCAAAATATAAAATGTTTTTTAAATATAAAATTAAGAAGTTCAATTCACACTTACAAAGAATATAAATGAATCAACTTTTTCAACTTTTATAAAAAAATTTATAATTATAGACTTAAATGTGTATAATGTTCTTGACAAATTTATTATTTTTGTTTGATAGTAGTACAAACTTTATTGAAAAGTTTTTACTTTTATTAAAGAAGGATGTATCTTCTATTTTACTTTATTTGGTATCTTCTATTTTTAATCAGACACATGTGGTCCAAATTTAACACTTACTATGAGTTGTGAATTCACACATTTAATAACTAACCACAGTACACAGGTGCATGATTTCAATTGCAACTTTACCACAAACTTATCAATGCCCATTTAATAATACTGTACGAGGCAAAGTTACTTAATAATCTTAAATACTTCTTCCTAGTTTTTTCAATTCCACAGTTGCATAACTAACTCTATGTCCCAATATTCCAGTATATTAAATGTTTTCCATAGGTAGATACTGCTTTTTATAATGCATTTATTCTTTCAATTTAACAAGAAGTTTTGGTTTTTATTATGATCCATTTTAGTTTAAAGAGTTAGTCTGTGTGCGAACATATCCAATTTATATTGGAAAGAAATTAATAATTCTAAAATATTTATAATTATGATAATCTCATACCAAAATTATCAGTTAGACGAGATTGGAAAGTTGATCGGCAATCAATAAGAGTAACAATTCCATATTTCTTTGAACCACGTTTTGAGCAATGAGCAGCCATCAACCCTGCAGCACTCAATACCCCACACACTTTTATTCCATTCCATGCACAACCCTGTGAACTCAAAAACCAAATCAGCATAATGAATAATTATAAGAAAAAAATATGTATTTATGGTGGTTAGGTTAGGTTAGTTAACGAGCTTACAGCTAGAATTCCTTTGGTTTCATCTTCAGTAAGTTGCAACCTCACAACTTGCGAAAACCTCATGGCTTTGGTATCATTAAATTTCAAATTTGTTAACCTAAAAGAAGTAAGGGAATAACCAAGCATGTCGTAACCACGCGACAAGAGAGTTTTCTTTGTTTTCTCACGAGGAGTAAGATCCTCAATAGCGAAACTAATCTCATCACGAACTTTCTCATCGTTTTCTAAGGCAACTACTTGTTCTTTCTCTTCCATCAACTCGAGTAACTCTCTCAATAGAAGCACTGCTGTTGTCCGGTCACACGCTGCGACATGGAGCCGCAGCGCGATGACCCAAGTGTTGTTCGGCATAGCGTAGACGCTTCCGAAGAACATGTTGTTTGTGTCGCGAGTTGTGTCGCGCCATGGAGTGTCGTTGTTGAGTTCGAGTTCCAGGACTTGTTGGAGAGGAGAGACTGTGTCATTTTGGTTTGACGAGAGGTCGTGTGATGTTAGTTGGAGGAAAGGTGAGGGAGAGGTGAGGAAGGAGAAGGTGGATGAGTGTTGGAGAAGAGTGGACCTGAGGATAGGGTGGATGTTTTGGAGTTTGTGGAGGGATGTTTGGAGGAGGTGAGTGTTTGGGGGCTTTGAAGTGCGTAATGCAATGACGGCGACGCCGGTGCCGCCGTAAACAGCCTTGCACCAGCTGTATTCTGTGCTGCCAACTGTTCGGCCTTTGGGTTCGGTCATGGTAGGTGGAAGAATAGATGAGTGAAAGGGTGCCTGATGAGCAAGTATTTATATTCTCTTTCATGCATAAAAAATTGGATTGAGCCTAATGCAAAAAAACATGTCACTTGTTCATTAATTATATATTCGTCTATTGCATGTTTTAAAAATCGTCTAGAGGGGTCCTAACTCCTAACAATTTTAAGGAAAATATTATTTTTAAAAATTAAGAATAAATGTAAAACATTATTACTTTCTCTGTCTACAAATTAAGAAGAAGATGGTATATATGAAAGAGGAGGTATAATGATATTTTACTTTGTTTGGTACTTTCTATTTTTAATCGGACACATGTGGTCCAAATTTAACACTTACTATGAGTTGTGAATTCACACATTTAATAACCAACCACAGTACACAGGTGCATGATTTCAATTGCAACTTTACCACAAACTTATCAATGCCCATTTAAAAATATTGTACGAAGCAAGTTACTTAATAATCTTAAATACTTCTTCCTAGTTTCTTCTATTCCACAGTTGCATAACTAAATCAATGTCCCGATATTCCAGTATACTAAATATATTCTAGTAGTTTTACTTCTTATTATGATCCATTTTAGTTTAAAGAGTTACTCTCTTCAGTTGTGTGTGGAGATATCCGATTTATATTGAGAAAAAATTAATAACAAAATATTTGTAATTATCATAATCTCATACCAAAATTATCACTTAAACGAGATTGAAAAGTTGATCACCAATCAATAACAATAACAATTCCATACTTCTTTGCTTAGTGGATACACAATGATTAAAAAGATCTTACGGGCAGGATATTATCGGTCCACTATGGAAACAGACTGTTATCAGCATTCACGAACTTGACACAAGTGTCAGATCTATGCTGATAAAGTACATGTGCCTCCGGTTCCCTTGAACGTTTTGACTGTTCTCTGGTCATTCGCAATGTGGGACATCGATATGATTGGGGAGATTAGACCTACAACTTCTAATGGGCACCGCTTCATCCTGGTTGCCATTGATTACTTCATAAAGTGGGTCGAGGCAGCCTCATTTGCTTCTGTTACCAAGAACGTTGTGGCCCGATTCATCCGAAATAACCTTATATGTCGGTATGGTATTCCAGAAAGAATCATCACAGGTAATGGTATCAATCTCAAAAATATTATGATCACCGAGCTATGTACGCAATTCAAGATTCAGCATCATAATTCTTCTCCTTATCGGCCGAAGATGAATGGCGCTGTAGAAGCTGCTAATAAAAATATCAAAAAGATCATACAGAAGATGACAGTGACATATAAAGACTGGCATGAGATGTTACCATTTTCTCTCCATGGTTACCGTACCACAGTGCACACATCAACAGGGGCAACTTCTTTCTCTTTGGTATAAGGTATGGAAGTTGTCCTACCTATTGAAGTCCAGATCCCTTCCTTGAGAATCTTGAAGGACGCAGGCTTGAATAAAGACTAATGGGTTCAGACTCGACTTGATCAATTAAACCTGATTGACGAGAAAAGGCTCGCGGCTGTCTGTCATGGTCAGATGTACCAAAAACGTATGATTAAAACTTTTAACAAGAAGGTCAGACGTCAGGTATATCAGGCTGGTGACTTAGTAATCAAGCTCATTATCCTGCCACAAGGTGATCTCAGGGACAAATCGACTCCTACATATGAAGGACCATTTGTGATCAAGAACATATTTTCTGGTGGGGCCATGACCTTAACCACTATGGACGGTGACGACCTTCCGCATCCTATAAACGCGGACATAGTTAAAAGATACTACGCATGAACAAAGACCTGCTAGGTTGACTGACCTAGGCAAAAATAAGGGCATCCTGGCGAATCAAAAGGGTTCGGGCAAAAATTAGGGATATACATATGAAAAAAAATCTATACACCCGGCAAGTCGAAAACCTGAAAAGGCGGCTTGGGCAAAAAAGGGTATCCCGGTGGACTGAAAACCCAAAAGGGCGGTCCAGACAAAAGTTAGGGATTTTAAGCGTATGACTATGTCCCGTTGGATCACCTTACAGCCAATCTTCAATATCAACTATCAAGCTCAAATGGTACTAATCAATCCAGTCAGCTTCGGACAAGCAGCAAAGAGATGAGACGCTCAAAGACATAAAGGCGATAGCAGAATCGGAAATCAATGAGATTATTTCACATAGCTGTTTTTATTTGTATACTATTTTGTATAACTTTCATTCTTACGACGAAATTCTCTTACTAGGATGTCTGTCTCCTTGTACAAAAACGCCTATTATAGGTACAATTTCTTCAAATTAATACAAAACTATCTCTTTGAAAGTGAAAAAACATTTGTCTTTTACTTTTCTGCTTTGTTTGAAAAAACGTCTAGTGATTATTTTTGAACATATGCATTTGAATATGATTACCGTTTACAAATACACGCATAAAATACAGAAAGACCATTACTAATAGCTTTAAGAAATGGGACAATGTCTAAAGGCCATCCATAAAATCTCCGCAGATACTTTCTCCAGCGGGTACAGAGGCAGGGGCGTCCTACTATAAATTTATTGCCATATCCTCAGTATGCAGCCTAATGATGTCAGGTGTTCTTATATCCCCGACAGAACAAGAGTTTCCAATTACTTACCCGGCATCTTAAAGAATTCCCTAACCTTGGTCACAAGCTTTTCAGGATTCCCCAGCAGGATTTCATAAAAATCCCCAAGCAGTTCATGGAGTTTCCCCTTTCTCAACAGAGTTTATTTCTCTAACAACGGAAATCCATCTCCCAGCATTTCAACTTCGACAAAATTTGAAAATTTACACTCTTCATCCCCAACTACAATCAGGGATTTATTTTCCCTAGTTCAACAACACTACAATAGAACAGCCGATATGTTCATACATTGCATTCATACATCATTTTACAAGCGTCATAGCATATGCAACACAAATTCATATATCACAATCTCATTTATTTTTAGAACATGCTTACCCGATGCTTCTCATGCATCATGACACTGCATATAACTGACTCTTTACCTTTTTCAGGAAAGTTAGCAAGCAGACAAATATCATCACCAATTTTCAAAAGTTCCAGATTAATATCTGAAACAAGACAGGACAACTATATGTGGACGACTGATTATAGATTAATACCTGAAATCAGACAGGAAAACTATCTACGTGAGCAGATTGAAGATTAACTCCTAAAACAAGTCGGGGAGACTATCTTTCTTTCTCTAAGGTCAGAGATTAAATACCTGAAACCAGCCAGGACAACTATCTCAATGACTGACAAAAGCAAGTTCTGGATTAATACCCAAAATAAGACAGGACAACTATCTAAACGACCGACAAAAACAAGTTCCAGATTAATACCTGAAACAAGACATGACAACTATCTGTGGACGATTGATTGTAGATTAATACCTGGAACCAGACAGGAAAACTATCTACATGAGCATATTAAAGATTAATACACAAAACCAGACGGGAAAACTATCTTTCTTTCTAAGGTCAAAGATTAATACCTGAAACCAGACAGGACAACTATCTCATCAACAAAAACAAGTTTCAGATTAATACTTGAAACCAGACATGAAAACTATCTACATGAGCATATTGGAGATTAACTCACGAAACAAAATTGGGAAACTATCTTCCTTTATCTTAGGTCAGATATTAATACCTGAAACCAGAAAGAACAACTATATCAACGACCAACAAAAGAAAGTTCCAGATTAATACCTAAAACAAGACAGGACAACTATCTGTGAACAACTGATTGTAGATCAATTTCTGAAACCAGGCAGGGAGACTATCTACACGACCAGATGAAGCAATCTTACATATATTCCTTCTTAATTTCTAAATGCAGCTTTACACGAGCTCATTCTGAAGCAATCTTACACGGATTCCTTCCCAATTTCCATATGCAGTCTAACAGAGACTCATCCTGAAGTGGCCCTACACAGGATCCTTCTCATACATCTCCAGATATAGTCTAACACTGATTCATCCTGAAACAGCCCTACACGGGTTCATTCTAATACATTTCCAAACAACAGTTAATTTCATTCTCCCCAACAAGTTACTGTGAAGCCTAGATTCCAACCAGAAAACATCAAACTTTCATCTCTCCATTCCATAGATAACTCCTCAGTAGAGCCATGAACAACTAAAGCTCCTAGACTATATTCCCCACAGAGTTTTACTCAAGCAAGAGAACAACAAAAATCAATTTTCCCCAGCGGAATCCTCCTCAGACAAAAGGAACAGGAATCCCCACAAAGAGACCTCTTATGAAATCAGCATCTACTTTGGATTGCATCTTTAAGCCCATCTCCAACAACTCTCAGTAATCTTCTCCAAATGGAATCTTTAAGTCCATTCCCTACACAATCAACCATCACATCATGCGAGTGCAAATATCTGGGCACTCTAGTGTTTAAACATATTTCACCTTCAGATCACGAAAGGAAAACAAGCCAATCTAAATCTTCAAGTTTAAGAAGATTGAACAAGGGCAGCTGTTGTACCCCAAAATTTTCCCTCTCATTTCTCAAGATTTTTATCACATAATTTCTACTAGGTCAAGACTCTACAAGTTTCCATGGATCATATTAGGCTCTCTAGCATCAAATCAAAGAAGAGCAAGTTAGACATGATTCATAAGCTTCGATTGGGCATCTAAAATCCTTCGAGCGAGCTTTTGTTTCAAAGTCTTCGATTGGGCATTTGGTCCCCTTCGATCAAGCTTTGGTCCACGAGCTTCGATTGAGCATTAAACCCCCTTCGATCATGCTTTAATTCATAAGCTTCGATTGGGTATTTGGTCCCCTTTGATCAAGCTTTAGTCCACCAGCTTCATCAAGGAAAAAGGCCCCTTCATGCTTGCCTTCGATCCACAAGGCAAAGGCCCCTTCGACTTGCCTTAGACCCACAAGGAAAAGGCCTCTTCATGCTTGCCTTTGATCCACAAGGCAAAGGCCCCTTCAACTTGCCTTCTATC